ATGATAAAAGTAACTCCGAGGAGGTATACTATGTACGCTGTACAGCTGCAGTTAACGCTTCTGCCATAAATACTGTTACAAAAGTTGAACTTTCTTTGCATCCTTGAGTATTAATTAGATAATCCTTACCTCTTTAATAATCAGGTTATTTTCTTTACATGTACAATTAGTTTATATTTTTCTTTTGCTCAGGTAACATGGAGTGAGGACGATAAAGAAAACCGAATAGCTGTGATAGCCTTACACAAAGTTGGAAATGTAGGTCAGAGATTTTCAAAATTTTGAAACCTTTGGGTATCAGCTGTATATTCGTGTACAGCACTATAAATAGATATAAAGAATTCCTATCTGTATGTGTGGCCGTCCCCGCACAGAGAGAACGGTAAATGACAGCAGTGGCTGCTTGAATCAGAAGAAATCCCATTCGAAAACAACAAATCATGTCTCGGGAAATGGGAACCTCTGTCAGATCAACGTCTCGCATAATAAAAAGTGACCTTACGATGGGGTCATGCAAGAATGACAGGAAAAAGGCTAACCACTTTCCTAAAAAAAAATTAGAGTGGATAGATGCAAAGTGCTCCTTGGCCGTTTCACCAATGGTCTTTATCTAAAGATTTTGTTTAGCGATGAGGAAAGTTTTACAATTGACGTACGCCAACAGCTCTAAAGAAGCCCAGGAAGTCATTGGAAGAGTGGAAAGAGGTCATCACCCTTAATTAGTGATGGTTTGGTGGGGAGTTTGCTTTGATGACAAGACAAAGCTCCATTTTTGTGAAAAACAGCCACTAAAAACTATCAGGACGATATTTTGGAACCTGTTTTCAAGCCTCTAAATGATACTCTGTTTGCTGTAAGTCATAGTGTTTTCCAAGAGGAATTCGCTCCAGCACACAAGACCAGGTCAACTCAGCAGTGGCTGCAAAAACATTCCAGAGTTCATCTCTGTCTTGGATTGGCTCTAAGAAATCTCTGATCTCAAACCACTAAATTATCGGCTTTGGTCTGAACTGGAGAGGATGCCACAGAGCACACCCTAACTTGGAAAGCCTCAAACAATCTCTGGTCCGAGGATTTGAGCGCTTTCCTCAAGAAGTGCTGCGTGCTCTTATTGATGACTGCCCACGGAGATTAAATGCCTGTGTCAAGGCAGAACGGGACATTTTGAGTAATTTCTTTTTTGTTTTACTCTCTATAGATATACATTTGATTTTCTAACAAAGTTTTTGAAAAAAAATAATTTCTCTTTTGAAATCTGTATATATTTCCTTGCGACAATATTTATGAAAGGACTAGATAGTATCCAAAGAGGAGCAGTATATCATGTATTTTTGCTTCGTGAAATAATTTGGCATAATGGTAGGCTTAGTACTTGTAATGTTAATGTATTAATGTATTAACTGACGATAAAAAATCGTTCTCATAATATTAGATAGGAATATTGTACATAAGTGTGATCTTCACATGTTTGAAAAAAATTCTATTCCAATTTTCCTTTTTTGGATTGACTAACTTAGGTGGGGGGGCAGATCCAACCACTGTCATATTATAATTATTATTTTATTTTTTAAAAAATCGTGACGGGTTGAAGAAAACATCTGGACAAGGTTTAGCTGTGCATCATTATTATTATTTTAAAAAATGTGGTGTTTTAAATGAGCTAGTTTAATTTTAGTTCATAATCTTAAAAAAAAAAAAATCAAAACACCTACCTAGGTAAAGTCAGGGGTCGGTTCAAAAATTAATTGAAAATTATTAAAATTCTATTCTGAGCTCATTTATTGATGAAACAATTTTAACGTTTATATTCTTGTTTAGAAGATTGCTCAATAAGCATAACATATTACTTTCACTTACGTATATATGTAATACATAGTAAGGGTAAGTATTGCGATCGTGAAAATTTTGGAATCTCAATTTTCAACGGAAATACATGTTTTGAGGTCCCCTGAGTTCAAATAACCAATTGTCTCAAAATGGTCTCTGTGTGTGTATGTGTGTGTGAGTAGTTTGTCTGTCTGTGTGTGTGTGTGTGTTAACAGTCTAGCTCATAAAAAAAAAGTAGTACGAAACCGATATTAAGTATTTAAGGTTTGTATATGGGCCGGATGTGACAGCAACTTTTTCGTTAAAATCGACTAACCGGAAGTGCCACTTTATATGAACGCTGAAACACATTTTTACAATTTTCTCAAAAACGACTCTAACGATTTTGATCAAACTCGGTGTATCATTGTATAATTAAGTGGTCTCTAATATCATTTAAGTCTTACCCCCGTTGATGTCACTTTACAGGGCTTAAATGCCCAATGTTCATATATGTCTTCCTCTAAAGTACCTTTAATAAGGTTTATTTTAAAAAGTTAACCATTTCGCATTATTCAGAGTTACAAAAAAATGCTACATATAACTTTTGAAAGAATTCGATAAATTATTAAAGGAGAAAAAAATAAAAATGCAGAAAAACCTGCGTTCCTACAGACTGTAGCGCCTAAACGGATGTATCGATTTCAATGAAACTTCGCTAAAGTCATTTTCTCGATACCTTTTAAATTTATCTATATAACATACTTCAACGAAAAGAATCTGGAAAATAAGTTACGAGGGATGTTAAAATTAAATTTCGAATAACTCAAAAAGTATACGCTTTTTTGTCGATATTATGATAAAATGTTTCGAAGATATTTAAATTGCCTAAAAAATGAAAGAAGTTTCATCGAAATCAAAGCACTATTAGTAGAGATATCGCGATTTAAAATTTTTTTTTCTAGTTAAGAAGATCTATGAATGACCCATTAAAGTTCAATAAAATTTATTGAAACTCCTCTGTAATCAACAATGTTTTTTAGAACTTTTGAAAAACAATTAACGTGCTGTTCATCTTGATAACGATAAAAAAATATGAGTTAAAATTTATCTATTTTATTTTTCACAGTAAACTTTCTCTGTTAAAATAATCATAATATTTTTACTCTAATAGCTTATTTACAACTGTTATATTTCTAAATGATTTAAGATGTAAATTTAAGCATAATTAATTAAAATATTTTTACCTTCCGTTTAAGTTAACATTACATTAAACATTCAATAAAGAATCAAAAATAAAAGATTGAATTAATATTCAGTACAATATTAAACTAGTATAGGTAGGAAAGTAAAAATTATAATTTAAATGCAGTCAACAAAAACGAATTTGACATGACATTATTCTAATGATGTAATAACAAAACTATTTTGCTGGATTGATTAATTCAACAATAAATACATAAATACAACACAATGGAAAAAACACTTTTCCTTAATTTCATTGACGAGTTTATTTCGATTTCAGAATGGTTTTAAGGCATATAATAGTTTTTAGTTTCCTGTTCAGAAAAAAATTATTATTTAAAATTATACCATGCTGATTTATTTAGTTATTTGATATAACCGAGCTTTATAGTTACTGAACTGATGTTAAAGAATAAAAACAAATAAGCATTGCTTTGTCATTTACCGATATTCAGAATAAGATATCATGGTATCAGGTTGTATTTATTGGTAGAACTTATTAATCAATAACTTATAGAATCAAAGGTTATCTAAACCTTAATTTGTTTGTTAAATTTAAGTATTATGTATTTATTATCGTCAATTTATAGATCAAAATTCAACTAGAAAAGATAATAATGCGAAAGGCTTAATCTTATAAGAATTAATTTTTTATTGATTTAATTTTGATTGTTCTTAAAATTGTATTTTTTTATCTTATATACATATTCAATCGTTTCAGAATGTATATATATATATATATATATATATTTACAACTTTTCCTTAATCGACCTTTGAGTATTAGATTTAAACTTAACTATTTAATTGAGAATAAGGTCACTTATTAATTATTTAATAAACTATTGAATGTTGATTTCTTCTATGTTTATTGACGTTTCGATCCCGGTATTTTCTTTTTATAAGTCAACGACGGGATCCTCTTCAAAGCAAGAATTTTAAAAAATAGAGCTTCGATCAGGCCAGGGACACACCGACAGTCTCAGCACCGTCCACCAGCACATATAGTAAGCTACACTCTCAGTAGCTCTATTTTTTAAAATTCTAGCTTTGAAGAGGATCCCATCGTTGACTTATAAAAAGAAAATACCGGGATCGAAACGTCAATAAACATAGAAGAAATGAACATTTAATAGTTTATTAAATAATTAATAAGTGACCTTATTCCCAATTAAATAGTTAAGTTTATATATATATATATATATATATATATATTATATATATATATATATATATAAACCACGTAATGTAATTTACGTTTAGAATTCATTAATAATAATTTTTAAAAATATTAAGAATGTAATTTTATTATTTTTTTTAAATGATTTATATATTCAATATTGGAATAATTTTTTAGAAAACATTGATATCTACTTGTTTTAAGTTGTTTTTTTAATTTAAATTTATTGGTCTTATTTACTCCAAATCTGTGTTGATTTAATAAATGATAAATATACTCCTATCAAAATATATTAAAATTATATTATTTTCCATGAATTTCATTGTTTTCTTACCATTTCACCAATTGTCTTAATGTCTTATTCAGGTTGAAATAAATGTGAGAGAAAATAGCTAATTATGTTGGTGGACAGTAATTTTATCATATATCATATATGTTATGATTTTGTTCATAATAACATTCAAAATATTTAATACTTACTTTAATCTCTTGCAAGTAAAAGTAGGCTTTAATAGAATAAAAATAAACATCATTCAACAATAATAAAAACAAATTTAATTTGAAATTCGACAACTGCATTGAAATTTCTTAAGATAGTTTGAACATTTATTATACATCTTACTATTAATCATAAAACTTTATATTTCAACATTCAACCTACAATAAGGTTGTACAAGATAAAATATGAATAGATAAAAATGATTAATTTATATGAAATTTTCGATTTCCTTAATATTAAAAAATATTTATATTAAAATATTCTATTTTGTCACTTTTCATAATAATTTAGCTTTTATATTTTAAAATACTTTACAGTTTGAAACTGTTCAGTAGATACATAATCTTAAAACTTTTAATATAAAATATATAAAAATGATTGTGATTCCTAAATATATCAGAAATGTAAACAAATTCAATTTTTAATTACTTTTTGTTGAATTAAATTTCTGAAAATAAAGTATATTTATGTTAAAAAAATTATTATTCATCGATATAATTTATTATTAAAAAAATATTTATTATTTAAACGATATATTACACACAGATTAGGGAATCTTATGTTACAGTGCTAGGGATTCCTTGAGGTAAAAGCCTTGCAAATCACTTCGATGACCCCCGGAGACTTAAACTCTTCACGAACGGTTCCTTTTAGCATTTCGTTCCAGATGTCATGGTAGGTCCAAACGATTCCACGAGTTAGCATCCAGAGCACCCACCGCCTTATAAAGTGGTTCTGAGGCTCGATGGCAATTTCGTAATTGCCCAAGTAGAGTATCGCACTGTCCACGAAATAGACCTTGCAGAACCCATCCTCGTTGACGTGGACGTCGAAGGACACCTCCCAAGCGTTATCGTTAGCGTTTATTCTCACATCAGAGCTCTCCCAGGGCTGGCCAACGATGTTCAGATCCAGTATGAAGCCGAAGTGGAGGATGCTTAATCCAAGGACTACGTCGCAATGGTAGACCATCGTACCCGTAGTCTTATGATATGTGGCGTTGATTCTTGGTTCTTCCACAATCGTCAAGGTGGAGAAGTCGGCACAATACCTTTCGTGGATGGCGAAGCTGTAGACTGGGCCGAGGAAATGGTTCCCGGAGGGCCAGGTTACCATATGCTTCAGCTCCGACAGGATGAAGCCGCTGAATTCATCGACGAGGTGGTAGATGATAATAGAGGAGTTCGATTTGAAGGGATGCGCTTCTGGGACAAGAGCGATGAAGATGACTATAACGCAGTACTGGAGCATGATTGGATTAAACGTTTATCGTTAGCTATCTACGAAATATTTATTTTATATAAAATAATTCCTTTAGATCACAGACACTAACTTGGGTAATGTAAAAACACAACCGTACTGGACGATTGCCTTTAAGGCACTGTCTCATAGAGGATCAGCATTGTAAATACAACTAATGTAAATAACAATAATTATTAGGTTTCTCCACATATAAATATATGTGTACGTATATACAGAAAAAGATGTTTTCTGTTTATTTGTCCATAATTGTTATATAAGTAAATAACCACAGGCGGATCTACAGAGGAGGGGGGGCTTTCGGGTTGAAGCCCCCCCCCTCAAAATGGTAAAATATAACCACGTTTTACAGAAAAAAATATTAAAAACTATCTCTTGTTCGTTTAATCACATTTAATAGGACTTCAGGAACTACTTCATGTTCACAGGAACACCATTTCATGTTGGTAGTTCATTTCTTTATTTTTTTTTTCAAAGTATTGTTATGAAGATTTATGAAAAAAAAAACTTTTTTTTAAATGGGGCTGAAGCTCCCCCCAAAATTAAATCTTGGATCCGCTAGTGTATATAACCTAGTTGTTTATGTAGGGATGGAATATAAAACAGTATCAAGTACTACATATGATACATATATATGGTGACGAATTTATGCTATAATGACGGATGCAAAAATATACAAAACGTGCTAATCAAAAATGTTATTTCACTGGATCCTGAAAATATTTCTTAACTAATTTATAAAATAACTTACGTCAGAGCTTTTGAATTTTATAGAATAAATCTATTTTTGATTTTCTTCAAATTATTTCTTTTTTGTAAAATTATTTTTCTTTGTATTATTTTTTAAAAATTAATTTATTTGAAAAGAACTATAATAAAAAATATACAGAGAGTCGGATAAGTAGAGAGAAATTTTGATAGTAGTGAGAGCAGACCTCATGAGCTATAAAAAAGTTCATCTAAACAATGAGCCATTTTTCAGCAAAAAAGTATAAAATCGAATTTTTTTTTTTAAGAGAGTCATTTTTTTGTTTAATAGAAATCGACAATATAATATATAATTTAAGTAATTGAAAATTACTTCACTGTAAACTAGATAAAATTTACTTTAATTGGAAAGAACGTTCGTCATTATTAAAACCATTTAAAGTTGGATGATAATAAAAAAAATCGTGAATAATTTATGATTTTTTAAAAGCAGAACTTAGCTTAGTTTAGCCGCACAAACGTCCTCTTTAAATGGTTTTAATAATGATAAACGTTTTTTCCGATTAAAGTAAATGTTGTGTAGTTTACAGCGAAGTAATTGTCAATTACTTTAATTAAATATTTCTTTAATTATAGATTTATATTTAACAAAAAACATGACTCTCTTAAAATAACAAAAAACTTGGATTTCCTACTTTTCCATATACTAAAACAGTATCTTAATATATGTGCTGGTGGACGGTGCTGAGACTGTCGGTGTGTCCCTGGCCTTAGGTATCGAAGCACTATTTTAAAACTTTGAAGAGGATCCCATTGTTAACTTATAAAAAGAAAAATAACGGGATCGAAACGTCAATAAACACTGAGGAAATGAACATTCAGTAGTTTATTGAATAATTTATATGGGACCTTATTCCCGAATAAATAATTATATATATATATATTATATATATATATATATATATATATATATATATATATATATATTATATATATATATATATATATATATATATTATATATATATATACATACATCACATCAGGAGAGAAAGTTTTTGTTATATATTTTTATTTTTTGAAGGAGGGGAAGAAGACTCACCAGTTAATGTCTGCTGGTGAATATTTTTTAATATAAAATATTAATATTAATATTAATAAAATATTTTATTAATATAAAATATTTTTTTTTTTAAGTTTTTAATAGACTTAATAATTGTGGTATTTGTTTATTTTATTGCTAAACATTTATTTTATTCCTTATTAAACATATATTTATTTATTCCTTATTAAATATATATATTCCTTATTAAACATATATTTATTTATTTCATTCCTGAACATTCATACATAAACAACATTTATGTCTTGTGGCAATGGTACAACTTATGATCATACTTCAATATATATAAGAATCGAAAAGGGATTACAATGATAACAAATGAGTGAATTGCTATTTTACAATGATTTTACAAATACGATTTCCCTGTAAGTGAGTAATTTATATTTAAAATGACCAAGTAATTAATACTTGTCAATCAAAGACTTACAGAATAATTATGAAATATATCACTTCCTGGTTCTAAAATACTTTCCGGGAATTCTCCAGCTTTTTTAGGGGCTAAATAAAAATCATTATCTGGAAGCTATTAATCATTTCAGCCCATGATGAATTTACATTTCTTTCCATCCTAGAGCATTCTTTCAATTTTTTTTTCACGGAATATTAAATTAAGGAGTAGGTAATGGTTTCCAAATAACTTTTTTTTAACTCAACAATCAGATTTTATTAACAAGATTGGTACACGATTATTTTATATTATTTAGGTATTTTACTAGTTCTTTATTGAGAAATATTACACTCTGTCTCATTCAAGGACAATAGTAATTGTTAGTAGAGTAGCTCATTCATAATCTATGTACAATAAATAAAAATAAATTAAACAGCAAAATAATAATACTAAAAGTAAATGTATATAAATAAAAATAAACTAAACTAATCAAAATAACAACTTAAATGCTCACACACTTTTATACAATATTTATTCTTAAAGAATAAAATTGGAAATATCATTAAAAATAAATTTAAAAAAACCAAATAGGACATGTTTATTGTCTATTCCCATCTTTTTGTTTTCGTTCCGTGGAGAATTTAGGAACCTCTCAAATAATCATGGCTATAATCGAAAATGGCATACTTTCCCAAACATTTCTGGAATCAATTCCGATTTTTCTCCCCAAAAACAGGAAAACCATAGAATTTTATGAAAAATGATCGAAGATATGGAATACCCACAAAAAATTCTTTTGAGAAATTATATGAGCCTTTCAGTTGGCAGGATGACTAACTCCAATTTCAATATTTTTGAGTATAGTCATTTTAGTGATATTTTTAGTTGGAAAATTTATATCTGTAAAGAAATTGAGTAAGTTGATTTCAGCGTAGGTGACTGCATTGTTGAAATAAAGAACTCTGAATAAAAGTAAACATTTTCTCACCAGAGATATCACTAAAATTAATAATGAAAAGGTTGAAATTGGAGTTAGTCATTCTGTCAACTGAAAGGTTCATATATTAACCGCTAATAAAGTTTCTTTTTCATAAATCATAAACCGAGATTTCTGGGCCAATTTTCGCATCTGTCGGAGAAAAAAATTTAAAAAATGATGGATCAATGGATTAAATTAAGTAGATGAAGAATCAGCGAATACATGATGATTTGATAACACATGAAGATTTGAACATTCGTTATGTATAAAGTTGTTAAATACAGTCCTCATTTTTAGACCGAAAAAATATTAATTTCGTAAAAATATACTTGCGTAGCTCCCGCATGACCTTGGTGATTGGTTCAAATTTCGCCTACATTTGCTGGAATTTCCAAGATTAATTTAAATTTGAGGAATCATCTGAAAAATTCCGAACGCAGACGTTTTATAGTTATAGTCCTTGGTATAGACCCCTTTTTATCAAACTATTAACATTCCCTTAAAACTCCGTAAATAGCTTCATCTCATCTCCACCTAAAACTATTTTATTTACGAAAATTCTGAGAATTCGTGCTGGAGATAGGCAAAGTTTGTCTATTTCGTTAGGTATTAAAAACTAGTAAATACGCATTTGCTTTCCATTTGAATCATTAGATAATTTGATCACAAAATATAAAAAGAAGGTGGCTTACAAAGATCTTGGGCCGTTTGGCCAATATAATTTCGTTATTTTGACATATCTCCTTATTTTGGGGGTGGAGATCACACTAAACGGCCCAATATTTTTGTAGACCACATTTTTTTATCGATTATATGATCAAATTATCTTACGATTCAAGTGGAAAGCAAATTGTGGGCAGGGTAGCCGAATGCACAACACCGCCGTTGCCTGGCAACCTGATATATCAATCAAATGATATAAAATAGTCACGAGTTCGGGTACCGGTGCCGAGGGAGTCTTTTAAATCCCCGCCCACACTTCCTGGACCGGGAAAACCCCGTATAGCCTGAACGGCGAGGAAGGGAGGACAAAAAAAAAGTGGAAAGCGAATGGGTGTTCATGTGTTATTAGTACCTAATTATATAGATAACGTTTACCGATCTCAAATTAAATTCGACACCATTAAACTTCCATCAAGATGGTTGGGGAAAGATACTTATTTTTTTCATAATTTTATTTAAACTTTTAATTTGAAAGGAATTCAATTTGAAAAGTGGCCAGTTGTGTCATAATGTATTAAATTAACAGTATTATTATTAATTTTTTTCTTTTTACTTATACGAAACGAAAACATCAAAGAATAACTTTTTAAAAATAAAATACTTATTCTAATAGTTTTAGAACGATTGGTATAGCTGATGTATTTTTTAGTGGATTTATGTTTAATTCTGCGGCTTCAGTATTTTATCAATTTATTTATTTTCCATGCGAGACATTAGCGAGATTTTTTTTTTTTAAATATAGACAAAGATACACACAGATAATTACATATGAGTAATAAGCCAAACAGTCAGGCCTAGAGAAATTTTGAATGACTGATAAGAAATATATTTACCAAGTTTCAACGACATGGACTGAGTCATTCGAAATTGTTGGTCACCCTGCGCATAGATATAAAACATCTAATCTATCACTTAATAAAGGATATTTAGCATGTCAATCACGATAATATTTAAAAGAATCATCAAAATCAGGAGGGGGAGAGGGGTAACCAAAATTTCATAAATGATAGTCAGTAAGCTCACTCAAGAAAAAAAGATTTGTTGAGCGAGTTAATCTTTATGAATTTTTTTTAGCCTTTTATAAATTTTACTAGTCAACTGTCAATTAATAGATTTTTCGCCTGAGCTACAATTTATTCATTAAAGTATTTGTCTATTATTGACAGTGTACATAACATTTAGTCAATGAATAA